TAGAAATTCTCATCCACCTGTTTCATTTCGCCTCTGTTATGCTAGAGTGTGTGTATGTAATGTGGGGAAATTAGCTTAGAAATGATTGGTAAGTATGAATGAAATGAATGGAAACATGGAAAGTACAATGGTCCCCCTTCCCCACAGAGAACATATTCCAGGACTTCCAGCGGATGCCTGAAACCGTGAATAGTACTGAACCTGATTGCCGTTAATCAGAAAACATTTCTGTTTATGTCTTCTCCCCACAGATAAAATGCCTTTTCCATCTTAACTGAGCACCAGCACACAACTGTGGCCATAACTTTTGCAGTTTGAGGTGAGACAGAAAAACTAGCAGAAGTTTCTTTTTCATTCTTCACAATCTCACAGATGGAAAATTCATTCTTACCATAGCAACTTCAGCATATGATTTTTTTTTTCTTTCTTTCTTTATTAAGAGGAGAACTTTCACCTTTTCATTTAAAGGAAGCACTTATGGCTTCTCTTTGGCATATCCGAAATGGCCAGCCTCACTGCTCTTGCACTTTGGTGGCCATTATTAAGTAAAATATGGGTTACTTGAATACAAGCACTGCGATGCTGCCAACAGTGGATCGGATCACCAGGATGGCTGCTAAGTGACTGATGGGTGAGTGGTGTCTACGGGCTGGACAAAGGGGTGGTTCACAGCCTGAGTGGGACAGAGTGGGATTTTGTCACACTACTGTAAACAGCACACAATTTAAAACTTATAAATTTTTTATTTCTGGAATTTTTCATTTAATATTTTTGGACTGCAATTACCATAGGTAACTGAAACCTTGGAGAGCAAAACTACAGATAAGGGAGAACCACTGTATGCTGTTTCATAATCCAATTACTCAATACATAAATAATTTGCACCAAAAAATGGCAGCTAAGTGCAAAATATGGTAATAAGACAGAAGTTAATAGGAGCCACAGGGGGATGCAATGTGGAATACGATACCCATTTCTTTCAGGCCCCCATTCTGTTCTTTCTGAGGCTTTCATGGAACACAAATTCTATCATAATGTGCTGTGTTTCTTGCACACTTTTGTGCACCTCTCTCTTTCTCTTTCTCTAAATAGGTGGATCCTTACTTATGTTCATGCTATCACATTATCTTCTTTTTTCTTAGAGCAGAATGTTATATTTATAGGGTTATTTATTAATCAGTAGTTTATTTTTGTGAATATTTTCATTAGAAATGGATGCTTGCTAGTTTTGATCTTTTTGCATAGGTTTTGGGTATCTGCACTTTTTTTCCCATGAGTCATGCTATTTCAATATGCATTTTGCTGAATTCAAAACTTTTTAAAGCCGGGCGTGGTGGCTCAC